GGTGGGGGAGGGGGGAGGCACCCGCTTTGAGAGGTGGTCGTGGTGCGATGCAAGTTTTACGCGAAAAGGGGAGAGAACAGGGGAAAATGGGGTGTAGGGTGGTGGCGGTGGCGAGGAGTGGGGTTGACGACGAGGTAGTTTTTTGAAGCGCCTCCACCTACCTCCCCTCTTCCCCGATAATGAGCAGGCACGTCATAGATGTTTTTGCGGGCCGTATTTTAGCACCATTTACGACTTCCTTGGCGGCGGCGGGGACGGCGTCCGGAGCGTCGTCACCTGTGCTGGGCGTCAAAGACACGTCATATAAAGCTCATCTGCTATTTTTTGGTGATGTGCTTTTTTCTATTATTTTATTGTTTTCTTTGTCATTCCTTGCGGCCACCAACTACTACTTTTTATTCCGATACGAAATCTAAAAAGATATGCCGCGCGTGGGGAAAGAGGCGGTTTCCGTCATTATAGATGAACACCATCTCCGCGATTGCAAAATTTCGCCTTACAAAGTTATAGGAAAGGGCCCGCCCTGGAAATGGGAAGTGGGTGTGGCCGAGAATATTTTATCGAGAAACGACGCCGTAGCAGACGACAGATTTCCGTCAGATATCAAATCGTTCGCCTTTACGTTAATATTGCGATTCCCACGACTGCAACGAACCGATGCAAAAGATAAAAAAAAAGGCTTGCATTTTAAGACCGTTTCCATCATCACGAAACATAGTGAAAACCTACATCTCCCGTCAAAGTGGCAAAGTAGTCAGCAACTGTCAAAAAGGTGCAAGTGCGCAACTTAGTTCTGAACCTATGTACCAGGTGGCTGATTAAACCCGCGCACTTCTGTAGTTAGACTGTACCACACGCACGAGTGCAGGCGGGTTGCCTACTCGCCCGGCCCGTAAGGCACCGTGGACAAGGGCGATACGCAAGCCCGCCCGCACTCCTGCGTGCGGTACAGTCTAACTACAGAAGTGCGCGGGGTTAATCAGCCAACGTGCGTCTACGCTCGGTCTACGTAGCTGACTTGGATATGGACATTTTTAAAAAGATTCGCGCATTGCTTTTGAAACAAAATAAGTGTGTGAGTGTATGAGCGCGCGCGCGCGCGCGCGTGTGTAGCACTACCTACTACCTATAGATTCCCACACAAGGATTTTTTGAAGTTTGTTGAACAAACGTCCTCCGATAAATCCCTACTAATGACAAAACTCACTGTGCCTTTTCCGTCCGGAGTGTCATTGGGATGTTGGTCACGCCGTCTCGATCATGGCGTCAGACAGCATCAACAGGAGACGGATTTAATAGAGGAAAAAAGGCGAACCACACACACAAATCGGCGAAAAAAAATAAAAAAAATAGCTCACGCTTAAGTAATAATGTTGCGAAAGGAGCATGGAGCCGATGGGGATGGGGTTGGTCGGGGGAAGTATAATATTATTGCCGTTTTGGGGGAAAAAAGAAAGAAAAGAGAACGAGTGTCGCGGTCGACACGCATCGCGTTTTAACCACATACAGCCGCAGTCAGTACACTGCCATAATCCGATTTACGATTTTTTTTCTGGCCCCTTCGGCATTTCCGCCGATGCGGAAGTGTGGACTTCTACTTCTTCCCCCATACTGCCGTCCGCACCGTCCGCTATCACGCTCCCACGAGCAGCAGCAGAGCAGCAGACGACGACGGGATAATCACATTACCAGTCGAGCACACGCTAATTTTAATGTTGGCGCATCAGGTAGACGAGCGAATCGACGGATGGTCAAAACTCGCGAAAGTTCCGCGCGCGCGACGGTGGGGTCGATAGGAAAAGGAGGATGGCGTGCGAATCACCTCCCCCGTTACCGTCAGGGCGCCCTTTGCTTGAGGAGCCACGCATAAGCAGCTCGCTGAGGAGGCAGCCACCAGGTACCAGAGCATTGTGCCTGTCGGCTGATGACGACAATGTGACGACGATTAAACGGGATTTAAATGGCGTATTCCTAAAAGGAAGAGTCGTCCATTAATTTCCCCCGCCGGACGCTGCCGATGACACTTTCGCCCCTTTGGGTCCCCGTTGCGATATAACTTATTGCATCCACCTCCCCGGCGGGCTTTTTGCATAGAGGAGGAGGACGGAGGCGGGTGGAGGAGGAGGATAGAGGAGGAAGGAGGAGGAAGGAGGAGGACAGAGGAGAATAGAGGAGCAGGAGAAGGGGAGGACGAGGA